ANCTGGGGATATAAGGCCTGTGCTACTGGTAAAGGAAGACAATCTGCCAAGTCAGAACTTGAAAAGTTGAATTTAGATACTCTTACTGTTCAAGAAGCCCTGAAAGAAGCTGCTCGTATTATTTATCATGTTCATGATGATTCAAAGGATAGACAAATGGAATTGGAATTGAGTTGGATTTCTGCTGACACCAAGTGGGAACATCGTAAAGTTACTGGTGAATTATTTGACCAAATGGTACAAAATGCCAAGGACCAAACCAAGAAGACTGGTGCTCCTTCAGCAACTGGTGGATCTACTTCTGATTCTATGGCTGATGAAGATGAAGATTTGTCATCAAGCAATCAATAATTCTCTCCAACACAACCACCACTCTGTAATAATACTATTTTGAAATACATTGTAAATTTGAATATCACACACAATTTTAAATTTCTTTTCCATAAATATTATAAAAAATGTCTCAATATCATGAGCAGCAACAAGATGATTCATTTCCCATCTCATCTATTGTCCCATCAAATATGATCGGAATGAGTGATGTTATTACTACTAACACTGCTACTGCTACGGGAGAGGATTTTTCACCATCATCTTTGCTTCCATGTGAAGCCTATGAAAAGGATGGGTTTTGTGCTAGAGGATCAACTTGTAAATTCAAACACGAATCAGCCATTGGAAATGTTAATTTAATTGAATTTTTATTTGAGTATGAAACAATCATTCCGAAGGCTACAAGTAAGAAGGTTAGAAAAATCAGTGAAATTACTTTGGATACTCAAAAAACAAATCAAGTACCACCCTCTCCCTCTTCTATTGATAAGAAACCAATGATTAGGAAATCAAAGAAAACAAAAATTGAAAAGAAAATTGATAATGATAGTATTAATAATACTAATACTTCATCATCTACTAATCAATTAACAAGTGCATCGATGCCAGAGGAACCTTTCGAAATACCTGCTGAATATGCTGAAATTAACTTTGAAAAACCAATCATTCCATTCAATTTTTCATTTCACACACCTACCTTTTTAAGACAATCTACATTGCAAGAATTAATTGATATTAACATGAAAAATACAACAAATAGAAATAAGGGAATTGTGCTGGCTTATATGAAAGGTAAGAAGATTTATCAAATTCTCACTAACTTTGACCTTAAATGATTTAAAAGAGAAGGAAATTTACAACTCTTCACATGATAAAGTTTCCTACTCGAGAAAATTTACAAAATACAAGAAAACTCTTCCAACAACCAAAAAGTAGAGGGAATTCATGGATTGATATTACAAGTTTTTACTCTAAAAAGAATAATGGAGTCACTACCCAAATAATTAGATTTTCAGAAATTAAGCCTCTAGTAACCTTTGTTTATTACGACTGTATTAGCTCAGGTCTCCAAAGCTTGTAAGTACAACAATTATTGCCTCTTATATTTAATGATATATTCAGGATAACATTGATATCTATCATAAACAATTAATTCTCTATATGCACTATTTGATGCATTTGAGTTTCCAATTACACTATCAAAGACTCTTCTGTTAGTACCGTTAATTTCTGGAGGTCTTCTTTCATTTGTCATTCTTTTAGGTGTGTAATAGATTTGTCTTCCCAATAAAACTCTGCATAAGAATAGAGAATATTCATTATTTCGATCTGGAGTACAATATTGATCACTTTTAGAACAATATTCTGCAAAATAAACTCCAGCTCCAAATAAACCTCCCAAACTTGCAACTCTTTCATCAAATCCATGCTCTGAAATGCTTGAAATAAATTCTGGTTTTGTTCCATGCCATAAATATTTTTCATTCATTCCACCATTCAATCCAACTGTTTTCATCCACTCAAAGGATTTACTTGTTTTTGCTAATTGTTCTGTTTGAACTTGGATTGAGTTCAGGGGATCTTGATAAGATGTCAAATGATTCATTCTTGATTTATATGAAGTGAAAAGTGATGCATTTTCAATTCTTGAAACACTTGAAACAACCATTTTGGAATAGTTCATTCTCACTTGTTGATCTCTTCCACTTCCAAGAGTTGTTGAATTACAAGAAATATCAATTACACCTTGAATAGTATTCTTCAAATATTTTGTAACATCCACAATGTAATATCTTTTAGAATAGGATGTAAATGTATTTCTCTTCCAATAACTTGGCAAGACAATATTCAATTGTTTGGATTTAGATTCTTCCAAATCCATTTCCATTGTTTGTAATTTCTTTTCCTTAATTTTCAATTTGCTGATTTGATTGGAAATTTCTTCTCTTTTTTTGACACTTTGATTGGTGAATTCTTTTGTTTTCTGTTCAAGATTCTTAATTTTTTCTTGAAGATTGAGTTTATCTTGATTAAAGAT